ACCTAAGCAATTTGGTGAGACCTTGTCCCAAAATTTTTAAAAATGGGCTAGAGATGTAGCTCAGTACCAAGGCCCTGAGTTCAGTCCCCAGAATGGGGTTGGGGGTGGGGTCACCGCTTACATATAAATCCAGTTTGGAAGCATAAAGAGGAGACCACAAAAGCCCCAGTCCTGCAAGTGTGTGATGTTGGAAAAGACGACAGGAGCAGGTTCCAAGGATGAAGTGGTCGGCAAGGACAATGCTGCAGTACAGCCATGCTGTAGCCACTAGTCTGAGTGATGACCACCAGCCCAATGATGTCCCTCACTGGGGGATGAGGACAGCGCTGGTGACCCAGGCAAGGAAGCCAGGACCACAGAGCCAGAGGTTGGGAGAGGCACAGCCCCCCAGAGGAGCCTGGCTGAGGGGATCGGGAGAGAGGCCAGGCCAGTGGAGAGACAGCGTGTGCTGGTGGTCATGGCTCTGTCTGCTGCTTTGGTCTGATGTGGGTGGGTGGGCTTTGTGCGAATTAAATATGGCAGGAAAAGCTAAGGAAGGGAGGGGAGGGGTGGGGACCCTAGGAAGAGGGGTGCGTGTTCCCTCTGGGAGGAGGTGCAGGCAGCTCTCTCTCATGTGATGCTTTTCTATTTTGTGGCATGGGAACTAAGAACACTTCAGGAGTTCAGCAGGAGATGGTGGGTTGGGGGCGGAGAGGGGGGAGACGCCTCTCACTGTGCCAAGAAGCCTGAGACTGAGTGAGCCCGGGAGAGAGGCGAGGGCCCCCAATGGGGATTGGAACCAGGAGCAGGAGGAGCTAGGAGGCCTCTGTGAGCAGCTGGGCCCTGATCAGGAGGCTGGGCCTGCCTGAGCGGCCTTGCCTAGGCCTCACCCTCAGGCCTCTGAATGGGCATTCTTAGAGGATCTGTAGTGACCACTGTGCCCTGCCAGCCCTGAGCTGGCTGTGACCAGGCCCTTTGGCTCTGTGGAGGGAAGGGCTCCCACCCCAGGAAGCACTGATGGAGGCCTCTGTTTTTAAGTGGTTCTGAGAAGTAGGTAGGTGGAGAAAGGAAAACTAGAAGCTTTCAGCTGCCTGCCAGAATTTCCAAAATTCCAAAATAGTTTTCTTTCCCTTCCCCTTCATGCTGAGAATTTTCAGAAGCCCCAGGCTGATCAAATGGGAGGGGGACAGTGTCTGGGAGAGGCTGAGAGACACCAGGAGCATGAAAACCAGGGTTGGGCCTGCGTCCGGACAGCTCCCAAGGACAGCCTCGAAACAGGAGACTGCGTCCAGTTCCAGCTTGGCCTGACTCACAGTCTGACCTTGGCCTCAAACCTAAGCAAGCACAGAACCAGACCCCTCTGCAGGCCTTGTTGAGCAGACTTCTGGGTCCCAGCTCTACTGTTTCTGCTTTAGTAGGCCTAGGGAGGGTCTCGAGAATTTACATTCCCAACAAGTGCCCGGGTGATGCCTCCACGCAGGTGAGAACCACTGGGAGGCCCGGCGACCTCCTTTCTGTGTGCCGGTGTCCCCAGCTCTGCCCAGGAGAAGCACACAGGCTCTGCCTACCTCCTCCCATGGGCGCTGGGAGGTTCCCATAACACTGTCAGGTGAATGAGTTCTGGGAGCTGGCTGAACACCGTTTGCAAGTCCCAGGGCCTATGTGAAGCGACCCGTGGAAGTAGGTCCCCAGCAGTCGCAGCCTCCTCTGCACCCCCATCCTGAAGAGGTGCTTCAGCGACACTGCATGGCGTCAGTGGCTGAGGCTGGGGGTCCCTGTGTCCCTCAGGGTGCCCCATTTCTCTGGATGCCGACCTGACGGCTTCCAAGAACCAGGCCTGCGACTCTGCCCAAGGCCTTCCTTTGGCCATGGAGCACCAGGCCTGGCATGCGCGCAGGAAAGCCGCCAGGGAGCTAATGTCTGTTCACCGCAGCAGATCCCAGTCAGTGACTGGGATACGAACCTCAGCTCCTTCACCCCTTAGCGGGGACAACTCTGAACATGTTCTACACACTCACCCAGAATTCATCAGTGGAACTGAGCCTGGCTGGTCACACCAGAAACCTGCTCCATGACACATCCTCTGCTGGCTTCTTCCTTCCCTGTGTTACCTCCGTGAATAATCCTCTGATCACTTCTCAAGCCACTTGTCTCAAAGCTTTGCTTCTGTTCCTGTCCCAGAAAGTATAATAATAATGATAATGATAATAATGATAATAGTGATACTGCTGTTCGTTGAGCAGCTACTATGTTCCAGATATTGCATATACATGGCCTTGTTTAATCACTTGCCAAGAGGGCATTATCACCTCTATGCCACCACTGAGATTACTCAGGTGTAGAAAGAGCAGGTGACCTGACCAAGAACTCTCACATGATGAGTTTTCAATCCATAAGGGGGGTTCAGGTAGGTCAGACGCTACACTTCAGGGACAGGGAGTCAAGGGACCAGGCAGGGAGGACACAGGAAATGGCCCCTTTGGCCCACACTCTGTCTCCATGGCAGGCACTGTGAGGGTCTCACTGACTGAGGCACCCGGGAGGAAGGTGCTTGAGTCAGCGAGGACGTGCAGGAAGCCATCCTGGGGTGGGTGCAGGTCTGGCTGCTCGTGGGGAATATCTGGGAGACCCTTTGAGAAGAACGAGTTCTTGCTTATGTAGAAAGGGACTCGGGGCCACAGACTGTATCCATTACAGCTCCCCTCTGCACTTGTGGGCCAGTGCAATCCACTCCTGCCATCCTTGTGGGCACGGAGTGAGTGCGGCCTTTGTCCACGGAACTCCGATGTTTTGCTTCCGATCTAAGTTTCAAAGTATGTTCTGTAGTAAACAGTTTCACTACATAAAAAGGAAGCTATTTGGGTTCTAAGGAAATCACGCCCTCATGGATAGTAGAATGAGCTCCCTGGATAGCACCAGGCCCACATTAGACTTCAGGCTGGGCCTATGTTCCCTAGCAGGAGCTTTGCATATATCTTCCTGTGTCTGGCCTAAGTTTCCTCATATGTGACAAGTGAGGCAGCTGCATGAGTCCTGTGGTGAGGTCCCAGGTTTGACAGGGCCTGTGGCTCCCCCTTGGGGCCACTTGGCAAATCTAGCAGGTTCCTGCTCCCATCCAGCCTGGAAGCAGATCTGTAATTGAGCCTGCAGGGTCACTGTGACAGGCACAGCCCATAAATCTCAGCTGGGAGCAGCCTGGGGAGATAAATCCTACTGCAGCTGCTGCTCCTCCGCCTCAGGGACAGCCTGGCTGGGGTTTACACGGAGAGGAGGGGCTAGCAAAGCCGTTCCCCAGGACCGAGACACTCAGTGGGGTGGGGCCACGAGGCCGAGGGTCCCCTATGGGGGAAGCAGTGCTTCCCTGGATCCCCCACATGGCAGGCATGGTTCCAGGGAAGGCGCTGTGGTCAGGATGAACACATGGCTCTGCACCCTTGCCTTCCCTGAGCTCAGGGACCATGGGGCAGGCACCACCAAATACAGATAAAAAAGAATACTAATGGCAGCAGGCATACACTAAGTGCGGATGCTCTGCCAGGCCCTGTGCTTATTCTACTTATGCCATTTACTCCTCACAACAATCCCTGGAGGAACCCTTGTAACAATAGCTGACAAAATGTCTCCACAGAGATGTCCAGAACAGAGATGTCAAGTAACTTGTCTAGGATTACTCAGCCAGTAGTGGCCAAGCCAGGCTTTAAACCTAAGCAGTGTGGCTCCAGAGCCTGGGCTCTGCACCTCTCTGCAAAATAATCAAGACCGTAGTTGATGACAGCAATAAGACAATGGGTCGTGTCAGGCAGCTATCACAGGGAGCACATAGAAAGTAACAGAAGACGGGCAGGAGTCTGTCAGGTGGTCGGAGGGAGGGGCATCGGGTGCAAAGACAAGGGGCTGAGAGAGGCCACTGTGGGCTTGAGGAATGGTGACACATTTGGAAAGACTGATGCATAAGGGGAGAGGAGCCTGGGCCAGGGAATGGTGAACCCCGAGCCCAGGCACATGGGCTGTAGCTGCCGGACAAAGGCAGCCCCTGGAGCTTTGCAGCAGGCAATGAACTGCCGAGTGTGGCGCCCACCCCACCTCACACTGGCTCAAGGGTCTTGGGCCAGTCGTTCCCCTTCCTGGAGCCTCAGTTTTGCTGTCAGTGACCTCAGAGGGTCATTTCTGCTTCACGGGCTTTGATCAAGGAGTCCTGAGGCAATGGATAGAAGGGATTTGTAAGCTGCAAATGATTTTACAAATTCAGGCTGATAGGTGGGATGGAGAGAAGTGAAGAGACAGCAGATTCAAATTAAGCCAGTTAGTTTGCCAAGGGGCTATCAGCTTTAGTCCAGGTTTCTTTTATTGTTAAAAAATCACAGCATTTGCATGGGGTTTGCTACTGACCTCTGGCCTTCATGACCTCCCTTGGAGATGCCCTAATCTTTTGAGTTAGGTAGAATCATTCCCATTTCATAAGTGTAGACCCTGAGGCCCAGAGAGGCCCAGTGGAGGTGTAAGGAACACAGTGTCCCAGCTGTAGGGCTGTGCTCCTCCACCCAGCCACAGGAGCACAGCCAAGGTCACAGCAGTGCTGGCAGAAACAGCAAGAGCTGATGTAGAGCAGGAGTCAGGATTGTAAAGTCTGAGGTCTTGGCTATTTTACAATAACCTCAAAAGTCATTTGTCATGCTCCTAAGGCCCAGGTTTGAATTCTTCACTTCCAGACCAGTGTGGGAGCCTGTTAGTGACCAAGTCCAGCCATTTGTACCATGCCTGTTCCACATCTCAACTTTCTGGTTCTCTTTGTGAAGGCAGGGAGGCCCTAGACACTGGGATTCTTTTTTTTATTTTTTGAGACAGGGTCTCACTATGTACCCCGGGCTGGCCTGCACTCACTATGTAGCCCAGGCTGACCTCGAACTGGAAGCAATCCTCCTGCCTCAGCCTCCTGAGTGCTAGGATTACAAGCATGTTCCACCACACCTGACAACACCTGAGCTTTAGAGTCAGGCCCAATTTGGGCTAAATCCCAGCTCTGCAGCTGAATCTGTGTGACCTTGACCTGTCTCTGAGCCTCGGTTTTCTGATACATAGCACAAGAGTAATAATACCTCAAAGGAAAGCCTGGCATAGCCAGAGGCAGCCTGAGCACAGAGCACTGAGGCTTTTTGGAGAGCTCCTGGGGCCCCAACCATCAGCCCCACAAGCCAGGCTAGAGGGTCTGCAGCCCACTGGCTGGGTAACCTCGGGAAAGTCATGGCAACTTCTCTGAGACGTTGGTCTCTCGCATCAGGTGAGTGCTTCTCCCCTGCCTTGTGGGGGCGCCCTGGGGCCACAGCCCATCATCATCACACCTCCCTCTACAGCACCATAAAGAGTTTGGGTGCACCCCAGGGCAGCGAGGCCAGTGAAGGCTTTTTGCCCTGCGTGGTAAGGCTGGGTGTAGGGGTTCAGGAGGCCCCTGAAGGTCAAGGTGGAGAGGGGCTGAGAAGGATTCTTTCAAGCTGCTCTCCCCAACCTACCCCATGGGCTTCTTGGGCCAGCACTGAGCCATGAGCTGGGCTATCCCAGCAGCGGGGGCTCTGGAGTTTGCCAAAGAAGCAAAATCCAAATGTAACTAACGGAGCTTTCCCTTATCCACTCTCCAGGTGGATGCTGATGCTAATCCTATTCCCAGAAAAAGCAACGCAGACTGATAAAAGCTTCGCTCACTTTGGCTCCACACCATCTGGCCCCTGGCGGGCATGGACCCAGGAGACCCAGGTGCAGTGAGGGCCATCGGTTCATTACGTGCACCTGAGGTGTGCTCAGCCTCACCCTGCGCCACGTCCAAGGCTCACAGGAAGCTGTGTTCTGGTGCAGGAGGCCAAAACCAGGGGACCAAGGAAGGTTATGTGGTAAGTTCTGGAAGAAAAAGGCCACCAGTGTGTCAGAGAAGAACTGGAAGAGGGTGGCCAGGAAGGTCCCCCAGGACCAGGAGTCACACAGGACATCAGAGGGGAGAGCAGCTGCAGTGTCCCAGGGCAAGGGCACAGCGTAAGTCTGAGGGACGGGGCGAGGCCTGCTGGGCTGGAGCCAGGGGTAGGGACGGGTGGAGACGGTGCCTCAGGTCAGGACAGCAGGGGCTGGTAGGCCACTGGAAGGACTCGGGTTTATTCTCAGTGTGACGGAAGCCGGGGCAGCGCCATGGCCTGCAGCATCCTGGTTGCTCACTCCGCTGCTGGGCAGAGAAATGGACTGTGGGGGACAATTAGACCAGGTGAGAGGCTCTGGCGTCGGGAAGGGGGGAAGGGTGAGGAGCAGGGTTCCGCTGGCAGGAAGCAGTGACACTTGGGGAACAATAGGTGAACACAGCCCCTGCCCAGTCTGCACGGTTAGCAGGGGCTGCCGCCACGGCAGACTATTTTCACACTGCTCTGCTCTGCCCCCAGGCTCGCCCTGCCCAATCCCTTTGAAAAATCACAATATTTGATTGGCTCCATGCAGGCCTGAGGCCCCTGTGACGATGCAGGACACTCATGTGACCCGCCCTCGAGTCATGTGGCCACGGCCATGTAGGACGCTTCCCTCTGAAGTGACCCTGCCCATGGCTGTGTGTTTCCTGGCTCTGAAGCAACCCAGCCTCACTGCGTCCTCTGGAGCCCCACTCTGCATCTCTTGGGAGATTTGCTGACCCAGAACCAAACTCGGGAGCACAAGAAACGAGGGCAACTGGCCCTGAATCAAGGCCAGCAGTTTCCTGAAGCTGTTGCTTTCAAGCAGGAGCCTAAAGAGATGTCTTTCTATGGTCTGTTGGCCATTTCAGAACTTGGGAAATGGAATTTCCCAATTCCTTAGAAACAGTTTACTAAAAAAATTAATTTATGCCAAGCACTTGGGAGGCTGAGGTAGGAAGATTGCTGCAGGTTTGAGGCCAACCAACGCTACAAAATGAGTTCAAGTTCACCCTAGACTACATTGTGAGACCTTGTCTCAAAAAACAAACAAACAAAAAATTGTCTCTCTTGATTTATAGTTTTACATTTATTTTTTAAAGTATCAACATCAAAAGTACAGACTTAAAATTTTCTTGTTTTATTTATTTCATTTAGAGTGAGAAAAACACACTTTTCAACTTTCAAAAAAAGAAAAGCAAGAAAAGAAACTAGGGCAGAGGGGTAGTGTGGGTCCTCTGCTTTTAGTTCTTTGGAATGCGTGTTTGCAGTATGTAATGTTTATATTCCTTGTATGGAGCTGGTGCATGCACTAACTCATCTTAATCCCCTTTATCTTTTTCTCCTTCCCTTCCTCCTCCCTCCTTGCAACTTTTGATCTGCTTCCCATTTGAGATCTCTTCCTATTATCTTTTCTGCTCTTTATTTATATGTTGGGTTTCTCATATAAGAGAACCCATGTGATATTTAAGCTTGTGTGTCTGATTTCTTTCACCTAACATTATGGTCTCAAGGTGCATCCATTTGCCTAAAAATGACTCATGTTTATCCTTCTTTATGGCAGACTAGGACTCCATTGTGTGTAAACACCACATTTGCTTTATCCATTCATCTGCTGATGGACATATAGGCCACTTCCAAGATTTAGCCATTATGAACTGCGCTCCTATAAACATGGGTGTGCATGTATCACTGTAATATGATTTCTTTAATGCTTTTAGAAAGATACATAGAAGAAGAATAGTTAGGTCAAATGGAATTGGTAGTTTTAATTTTGGGGGAACTCTCCCTACTGATTTCCATAATGGTTGGACTAGTTTACACTCCCACTAACAATTTAGAAGAGTTCCTTTTCCCACACAGCCTCTCCAGCATTTGGTATTGCTTGATTTCTTGATAATGACCTTTTTTTTTCTGCAGTAAAATGGAATCTCAGGGTTGTTTCAATTTGCATTTCTGTAATGCCCAGTGATGTTGAACATTTCTTCATATATTTATTGGCCATTTGTACTTCTTCTGAGAAGCGTCTATTCATTTCACTTGCCCATTTTTTTTTTATTAGATCTTGTATTTTGGGGGGTCTGATTTTTTGAGCTTGAGATAGTTGTCCTCATCTGAGAAGTAGCTGCCTGCCTGGTCTTCTCATTTACTCATTCAGTGCATGTGTATTGAGCCTCACACCGGTTCCAGATGCTACTAGGACCATAGAAATTAATCAGAATCCTGCCCTGGAGAAGTTCACACTCAGCTGGAAGGGGAAACAGATGAAGTTCTCCTACAGCCTGAGGTACTCCTACAGCCAGCTACACATGTAGGAAGCCTGGGTACATGGCACTGAGGTTTTTCTTAGGAATTTCCTCCTTTCACACTCTGTAAAGTGCTCCCTGCCTGGCATCCTGGGTGATCCTCCTAGTCCCATTGGACCGTGGGTCCCTCTCTCATTCATGTCCAAGGCCAAGGCCAAGGCCTGGCACACAGGAGAGCGGGGTTCAGTAAGCATTTTCACTCCTGGGAGCGCCGATTCCTTTCTGCTAGAGCTGCCAAAACAGAGCATCCTGACTGTGTGGCTTAAACAATGGGAATTTCTGAAGACTAGAAGTCCAAGGCCAAGATGCCAGTGGGTTTGGCTTCTCCCGAGACCCCTCTCATAGGCTTGCCGATGGCCGTGTGCTTGCTGTGTCCTCACACGGGATCTATGGGTCTGTGTCCCGATATCTGATTCTCACAAGGACACAGCCTATCGGATTAGGACCCACCCATGTCACCTCAGTTTACCGTAATTGCCTCTTAAAAGACCTCATCTCCAAGTCGAGACCCATTCCGAGGAACAGAAATTTAGGACATAGATGTATGAAGGGGCACGGTCAGCCCACTCGAGTGCGTGGCTGTGTGTAGGTAGATGAGAGGCCCAAGGCTGAGACCAAGGAAGTCAGAACATGCATGGTGGGGCAGGATCCGGATTGGGGTCTCAGGTTAGGCTTCAGCCACTGGAGAAAAAGCTGACGAAGAAGAGAACTAAATCCCACTTGGAGGGGTGAAAGCTCAGAGAAAGAGGACTATTTGGGGTTGTGAAAGGGGATATAAATATTGATTGTGGGATCTTCTCAAGGGCTATTAGCTCTGAGTTCATTTTCCAATATAAATAAAAGAAGACAAAGGCCGGGGATTTAGCTCAGTGGTTCTGGTGCCTTCCTTGAAAGCACAGGGTCCTGAGTTAGATCCTTGGTACCAAAAACAAAACAAAAAAAGAAGACAGACATTAAGGATTTGAGGTCTCTTAATAGGCATCAAAATCCTTAGACACTTATAAACATACAAACATCACTCTTCCCCTTTAAGACTATTTCACAAAGCAGCCTTTTATTTAGACGGGGAAACCAAGGCTCAGAGAGTCAAAATAGCTTTTCCAAAGTCGCTAGCTCCTCAGATGATTATCCTGCCCAGTCAGTCATGAGAGCTACGGAGGAAAGATTCTCGCTTGCCTGTGGTACAACTCCTTTCTCAGACAGCGTGGTGCTTTGTGTTTTCGGCACTAAAAAATACATTTGACATATGAATTTATCTTCACTGAGAAAACAACACTCAGACTGGATTACAACTGGATGTATAAAATAAATATGCATGAGTCCATACTGATTTAAATAATCAAAATACATAAATGAATGAATGACAGCAAAGGGACAAATCTTCCTCAGAGAAGACTTCTGAATGGGATGAGGAGATGCCGCCCCCTTCCAGAGGTGGGTTGAGTTCCCTCCCCTCCTTCGCTCCTGAGAGGGCTCTGGATGTAGTGACTGCCTTGGGGGGGGGCAGTGACACCTCACCGGGCAGCAGGGACACCTGGAGGCCCCACCTTCGCCGGGCATTCCATGGTGGAGCCATGTGCCCTGATGGGCCATGATAGGCAGGGCACCTCACCTTGGTGGGGAACCGGGCCCACACCTGCAATCCCTCCCCATTCAATCAGGAGGAAATCCTCAGTCAGACTTAACCTGAGGAAGTCTACTAAGTACTGACCATACTTCTCCAGATGTTAAGGTAGCAGGAAAGAAGGAAAGACAGAGAAACGGCCTCAGAGCAAAGGAGGTGGGACGGACACTAGGACCAAATGCAACTCGGGTCCTGAACTAAACCCTGGGCCCAAGAAAGGACATGATGGAAAAACTAGTGACGTCTGGGTGAAGTCTGGGGTTTAGTTAATTTTGACAAATCTTCCCATTCATGTAAGATGTTAACAAGAGTGGAGACTGGAGGAGGGGCATACAGGAATTTGGTACAATCTTTGCTACTTTCTTTCAATCTAAAATTATTCCAAAATAAAAAGTTTATTTTAAAAAATTGAGTAAGGAGAAAGTCCCTCCTGACTATGAATCCATGTCTCCCCGACTCAAAACTTCTCTCAAAATTGAGCATGTTCTTGTATACATCTTCGTTTCTCCCTCTATGGGGAGACATGGACATTCCTATGGAAATAGTTGGGTTTTTTTTTAACATAAATGGTTCATATTGTACACATGGTTCTGTGACTATTACTGGCTAGCCTGGTCTTACTATATAGTCCAGGCTGGCCTTGAACTTGCTGTGTAGCCCAGGCTGGCCTTGACCTCACAGTGGTTCTCCTGCCTCAGCCTCCTAAGTGCCGGGATTATAGGAATGTGCCACCACACCAGGCTGTAGGCTGGTTCTTGAGCCTGGTGATGACTACCACCATGGCCTGCCCTCTTCTTCAGGCCCCTGAAGAAGAGGGTCCCTGTGCAGGCCTCCGAGATGTTACCAATCCGCTGATGGTTCTTGTTTAATTCATACAGAAATCGTGAGTTGGCAAAGTAGAGTTTTGTTAGCGTTAACAGTCCTGGGCTTTGAATGCCAGTAACTGTCAGTGGCCCTCCTTCCTGCTCAGAGCAAACAACTACTGACACATCTTGGGAACTCTTCAGGCCACCAGAGATGCAACAATTCTTTGCTGCTCTTTGTTGTTCTGTGCTGCTAGCCAGCTTCAGTGTACCAGCCCTGGCTGCTGGCTGGTTTTGGTGCCAGGGACCTTTTTTCCCTGCTCTTAAGGTACCTGATCAGCATGCTCTACTCAAAATAGAAATAAGCCAGACCATGCCAGCTGGAAGAGGCTTTAAAGGACTTGTGCTGCAGTATAAGGGGAAGCAGTGCATGGAATGGCCCTACTAAGGGTATGGGGAGGTTGCTTATGTAGGAGAGAAGGCGGGCTTGTGTGTGTGCAGTGTTAGAATTTATGTGGTCATGGGTTGGGGAGGGCCCCTCAGGGACCTTATTAAAGAGGGCTCCAGAGGGACAGAGTCATCCAAAGAGGCTGTGGTGGAGACACCTGGGATAGGTCTGAGACTGAAGCCCACTGCAGCCAAAGCAAATATCTCTGGGGCAGCTGTAGGGCATCTAACATATCCAGACTAGTGGCCAGGCATTTGGGGTAGCTCAGAGGAAAAGTAAAAAGGAGTGGAGTCACTTAGTGAGACCTTTCCTCAAAATGTAAAATAAAGAAAGAGTTGAGGTATGGCTCAGTGCAAAGGTCCTGGGTTAAATCCTCAGTGAAGGAAAAAAAATCTATCTATCTATCTTGGGGAGCCCTGAATCCTACTCTGCTGTCTCAGAACTCCTTTTGTTGACTTGTCTGTGTCTGGCATCTCTGTTTCTGGCATCTCTGCCTTCACTCCTGGACCTGGGCCACACAGTGACATAGCAAATGCTGGGCACAAGTGGCTCTGAGCATTTAAAAATGCAATGAGCCCAAATGGAGATCGCCTTTAAGAGGAAAATACATGCCGCATTGCAGAGACTTGGTGCAAAAAAAGGATGTAAAATAGCTCATTGGTGATTTTTTATATTGATTACATGTTGCACCAGTAATATTTTGGGCACTGGGCTCAAAATTATACATGCGATTATACAAGTGCTTTGATGTAGACATAAACACATCTCTTTCATCCGTACATAGTGTTCCAAAATTCGGATGGACTACGATTTATTTAACCATTCTTTTTCTAGCATACATTTAGGTTGTTTCTTAAATTTTGCTGTTACAAACTGTACTGCAGTTAAAATATCTGTAAATGCCTTCTTTGTGCACATGTCAAAGGGTTCTCTAGAGACAGGGTTAGCAAACTAAGACCCACCAAATGCAATGTTTTTACAAATAAAGTTTTATTAGGACACAGTCATATTCATTCATTCACCTACCTATCATCCATGACTGTTTTTTGCACTACACAGCAGAGGAGTTGTAACAGGGACCATATGGTCCACAAAGCCTAACATATGTACTGTCCATCCCATTTGTAAAGTCTGCTGACCCCTGCCTTAGAGTTGCTACCATGTCCTGTTTCCTGACTCTGAGAAGGAAATTAGCACGTGGAAATTTATTAGGGATTGTGCTAGGGAAAGGGGCAGGGAAAGAATAAAAAGAGAGATAACTGGGTTGCAATGCAGTATGAAGACCTCAGCCAACCCCACGGGAGCTCTCAAGCTGGCGTGGCCCTTCAGAGGTGGACTGAGTTGGGGCAGTGGGGCCAGGGCTTTAAAGCCTGCACTGACCTGCCCCAGGAGAGGGCTGTGTTCTTGGGGGAACTCACGCTGCTGTGAAGGACATTCTCAGGAGGACTGACAGCACTCCCAGTTGTGGGGGAAGAGACCCATCAGCACGGCAGCAGGGGTCTGGGCAGGACAGGACAGCAGCCGCTACATCTCACACACTGTGCGACTCTGTTCCTCTCTCCTCCCTCCCTCCTTCTCTCCAACCCTTCCTTCCAAACTGCTTTCACTATTTTTCCCAGGCTGGCCTCAAACTCATGATACTCCTATTTCAGCCTCCCAAGTAGCTGAGACTATAGATACCCAACTTGTAGCTCTACTTCTTGGTTTAAGTTCTGCCGGTCCTCTTTTCCTGGGAGAAACTTACAGAGGGAAGTTAGTGAGTCAAACTTCAACCTCCACCATGGTGACTGCTCTTGAGGCACAATTATACTCATGGTCTCCCTGTTCTATCCAGGCTGGATGGCCCTTACCCTCGACTTGCACCTTGTCTGCTCTCAGTGATTTACCTGAGGCAGGCTGTAGAGACCCTCTACCCCGAGGGATCTGATACCCTGCTCAGGCCATGGCCCCTGAACTTGTCTATTTTGTAAGTACAGTACAGGGCAAGAGAATACCAAGAGATCATCAAGTGGATAAACTGGGTGCCAAAGATATAACCACTTAGCAGCCTGATGGTCAGAAAGAATGGCGACTGCTGTCTTGCCTGCTGATCCCTTGATACAAGGAGTTCAAAGTGCCTGGGTGGAATCTCCGGTAAAAGTCCCATAGCCATCTTGACATGTCACCCAATGGAAGAGTTCCCCCTTTTGGATCCAGGACTTCTAAACCTGAAGAGCCCATGGCTGTGGGGATAGGAAGCACACATCCCCAAGAAGCTCCCCAGGAGTGTGAGATTGAGGCTCTGCTGCTTTCCAGGCTTGGTTCCTGGTCTCATGTCTTCTGCCTGTTGGAGACAAAGCATCAGGGTTAGTGAGTGGGAACTCACGTGGTATGGTTTGAATGTGCTCCCCCAACGTTCAAATGTTCAAAACTAAATCCCCAAATTCCTAAATCAATGACATTTGGAGGAGGGGCCTTTCCAAGTGTGTTAGTCAGCTTTCCATCACTGTGACAAAATACCCAAACCATAACGGGGGTAACTAGGATTAGATGAGGTCGTGGGGCCTGGGGCCCCATGGTGGTCTTAGTGAATTTGTAAGCAGAGGAAGAGAGACCTGAACTAGCACACTTGCTCTGTCTTGCCATGTGATGCCTTCCAGGGCCAAACAGATTCTGGCAACATGTTCATGGATTTCCTCGTCTTGAGAACCATGAGCCAAGTAAACTATTGTTCTGTTTTGTCTCTGTGGTACTGGGGATCAAACACAGGTGCTAGCTAAATTCCTAGCCCTTTATTCTGAGATAAGTTGGCCAGGCTAGCCTTGAACTTGTGATCCTTCTGCCTCAGCCGTCCCAGTAGCTGGGATCACATGTGTACACCACACCCCTGGGCTAAATTATTTTTATAAATTACCTGTCTTAGCTATTTTGTTATAGCAACAGGAAATGGACTAAGACACATTGCCATTGGACCATTTATACTTTCTCTCCGTCACAAATAGTTCATGCACCCATTGTGCCAGCTTGGGGCCGGCCTCGGTTAGAGACTGGCTGATGTCAAGTGCACATACAAGGTTGTTTAGTGCTCCTTCCGTGGTATACGCTCTCAGGTGGCTAGTAACAGAAAACAAGATCTTCACACTCAGCATCCATTCCTGTGGGTCCATCATGTACCTCCACCCCGGTTCTCCTTACCCCCAATTTTTCAATCTTCTTTCTTCCAGATTCCTTACCAACCAGCCAAGCCATTCTTCACTGCTCACAAGATCTATGTAAAATCTAATGAGGTCCTTTCTCTTTCCATTAAAAGCGAGTGACAATGCGCACTATTCAAGTCTCTGCCAGACAGAGGATTTCCCCCTCTGCTGCCTTTCTAGCCTTGTGTGGGGTGCAGTGTAGCCATGGCCTATTTTTATCTTGCTTCTGTATACTGAGCTGATCCATCTGTGGACAAAGCTTAGCTTATTTCACTCCTCCACCTGCTGGATATAAGGTGCTTCCCAGGTAGCCACAGGCATGAGCTAAGGGAGAGGAACTGCTGCAAAAGTGGCGGATGCAGAGATGTCTGGGCCACCTGCTCATGTAGCTACCTCCTGTCCTCTGGCCCTGCTATGCTCAGCTTGGCTGTGTCCCTTCTGTCTTATGCTTTACTCCTTCCTTGTCTGTGACTTGGTGAATCTGGTGGCCTCCAGCTCATGATGAGCAGCTTTGGCCATATGGCCAACTTCATGATGCTTGGTCAGACAATCTGTCTCTACCAGGACTCTGTAGCAAATTGGAAGCTGTTTCTCGAGAAGTGCAACAATTCTTGGCTATGGATGGCATGGCCCTGCTCCAGATCCTTAGGGGCCTGCACTGTGATTCTCCTATTGAGCCTTGTCATAAACTCCATAGGCATTCTTTTCTACCACAGATACCTCACATACCACACATTCTGCCAGCTACTATTTCCTACCAAGCATAGCCACTGTACTGAAATCTGGATCTGCTGCTGAGCTCTTTCCTGCTCTGGGCCTCTATAACAATCGGCAGCATTCTGTGTCACCCAGCAATAGGGATGGAGCAGTATTCCCAGGTGTGGAAGATACTCCTTCCCAAACCCCAAGAGGCCTGGTGCTTCCTTCTGAAAGGTGGGAGTGGCAGATGCAATAATTTCGCTTTCACTTTGGAGGAGATGTCCATGGCATCTCTTATGCCATAGGACCCCAAAATTTTTACTGGTCTATCAGGCCCCTGAGTTATCATGGGATTTTATCCCATTCTCTGCAATGTATATGTCTTGCTAAGGTCTCTAATATGCTCACCTTTGTTTGTTCATCTGGCCCAATTAGCTGATGTGTTCAATCTGTGGGATCCACATGGTGTGCTGCAAGATGTGAGGCAGCACAGGTTTTTCAGACTAGGTTGTGTGAGGGCAAGAGAATTAACAGTCCCGGGGCAAGGCTGTAAATGTGTACTGTGATCCGTTACCAGTGAATGTGAACTGTTTCTGATTTTCCTTCTGATAGGGAAGGAAACAGTCACCGCTCAATGAGACACGCTAACACATCCTAGGAAAGATGCCACATCTGGCACAGCAGCTACAATCAGAGCTATCTGCCGGTTACTTTTGCTGTCGTCATCTTCCAGGATCTGCCAGGTTCTTATAGGGGCCAGACTAGTGAATAAAATAGGGAGATAATGGGATCTTTCCCACTGCATACCTTAGGTCTCTAAGGATGGCATGAATCAATGCTATTCCTTAATTACAGGTGAAGCTGAGTAGCTTTAAAATTTTTAATTGGCTTATCTTATTTCCTTCTCTTTGAATTCCCAGAAGTTTTTGCTTTGTTTTTTGTAGTACTGGGGATTGAACTCAAGGCCTCCCACATGCTAGGTAAGGGCTCTGCCACCAAACTACACATCCAGCCCTTTAAAACAAAAAGAAAAAAATTTTTTTTGAGATAGGATTTTGCTAAGTTGCCCAGGCTGGCTTCAAACTTCTAATCCTCTTTCCTCAGGCTCCCAAGTAGCTGGATTACAGGTGTGCAGTACCTCTCCCAGCATCATTTGCCTTTGTTTTTTAATGGACTGTTTATTGTTTGTCTCCTTCCCTAGACCGTATGCTTCTTGAGGCCAGAGACTATGTCTTATTCATCCCTGTAACTCCTACACCAAGCACATAAGAATTCAACAAATATCAGTGAATGAATGATTTTGATAAGATTAAAAAACCCCAGGATTTGATTGGATCTCTTGGTCTTCTTGGATCTTGAAACCAACCTCCTCAGCTTGTGGGTAAGGCCATCCTTGTCAGCAATTGTACACTTTGGGTAATTTAAAAGAAAACACAATGTCTTCCAATCAAATCTTGTCTCTCTTTGGAATCAAAGCAATGTCACCGAACTAATGGAAGCTCCCAAAGCCTTGTTTCTCTGGATGGACTCCTTTTGATAGCAATAACGGGCAGTAACAAACCGAGCCCTTGCCCCATCTAGCTGTGATAAACACATTACAAATCTCAGAGTGAGGCTCTGAAGCCTGAGGCTGCCACAAAAGAAAACCAAAGTTGACAGCACAAGTTTAAGAACCTGATATTCTATAAATGAAAAAAGGCCAGCTGCTGTTCCTTCACCGCTGAAAACAGTAAACGAGTTATCTGGGCCTTCTGCCATTTCTCAAACCTGGGGTTCTCTAATGATATCTGTTTGGGCAATTCTAAACTTCATTTGTCAAAAAAACTTCTCTAATTCACTGAATCTCAAGTTGGGTTTTTTTGGCCTAAAATTGTTTTTAAAAATGTTTAAGCTTTTTTTCTGGTACTGGGGATCAAACTCAGGACCTTGTGCTTTTGAGGCAGGTGCTGGAACCACTGAGCTAAATTCCTGGCCCTAAGCTTTTCTTAAATATCTGTTTCTGTAAGAACATTTTAAATCACGTATCTAATTAGGTCGTATACCTGGTCAAAAACTTCTCATGGTCTTTGATTATTTAGGCCAAGGTCTTAACTCTTTGAGAAGGCCTCACGGGCCCTGATTCAATTTTTTCCCCCATTTCTCACCAGCATTCCTAAGAACCCTATGCTTTAAACCATCTGCTCTTCTTCGCCTTTACTGAACCCAGCCACCTGTGCCATGAGCTCCTGTCTACCTGTCCTTCCAGCCTTGGTTCAGAGATGAACTCTCTTGTGAAGACTTTCTTCCTCTGCATAGAGTTAAGTACTCCTTTCCTATTTTCTTAATACTTAAATCTCTACAGTAAACATCCAACATGCTCTACTGTAATCAGTTATCTGTGTCTGTCTTCTCACCAGAATAAGAGCCCCTCAGTGTAGAAATTATATCTCATTTATTGCTGTTATCCCAGTGCCAGTCCAGTCCTTGGGGTGCAGAAGATGGGCAACATTTGTTTGTTGAGTGAATGAATGAAAATAAAGACTCAGTTCCTACTCAAAGGACAAGGACTTCCAATTTAACTACCAGAAGAAAAGGATCAGTAAGTTGTTGGAGCAGAGTCTAAGGGTTTTGTGTTTCCAGGTTTCCTCTAAGAACTGAACACACTTAGAAGACACGCACATGCCTCTACTTTCAGGTAACTCAGCGGTGCCAGGGACTTTGCTCACCCCATTCCAGGAGCAGCCCTTTTGTTTTAAGAGGCTACAGCTCACAAGCACTTCGTGGTGGGTGGGCAAGCATGGATAGATGTCTGCAAGCCTCTTTCTCTTCGGCAAGTGCTCAGAATAGCTCCATTAGTGTTCATGGAAATTCTGCACACGCATCAAGGGGAAAACAGCCACAAATAACACAGCCTGCTTTCTAAACCTCCACAGCACATCTCTGCAATCATTCTGCTTTCCAACTATCACCACCGAAGCCTTTCAGCCAGAAAGTAATTTGTTTTCAACTTACTGTGGGTTCGAAGTTAGCAGAACCCTTTGGTTGTTTATAAATGAGGCTTCTGACTTCCACTTTCTCTCCCCAGCCCAGCTTCTCTTCTCTACCTGTCATCACTACACTGAGCAGCTCCTGCCCAGAACCAGTCCAGAGGTGTTCACCTGATGCTTGGCCCCTTCGGATCTGCACCCAGTCCTTGCCTTCCGCTCCAGCCACTCTCCTGCTTGTGTCCTCCCACTCCTCTCCCTTCCAGTTATCTCCACTTCTGGATCCTTCCACACTCTGGTTTCCCAGCAGGTCATCGCCTCAACTACCCAGTTACCAACTTCTGCCCTTTAAAATGGGACACAGGCATCACCTGCTCCAGGAAGCATTCCCTGACTGGGTTACACATTGCTCCTGTAGGCCCACACCCAGTCATTCAACTAGGCAATAAATAGTTATGGAGACCCAGTGTGAGGGCTTTGTATCTAGATGTCCCCCCAGCCTCACACAGTCATAGGTGGGGAATTTTGAAGGGGGTTGGGTTAGGGTGTATGAATGTGGATTAAAGGTGTGATGTTGCAATTGAGGGTGTGGATAATGGACGCCCCACTCTGGATGTGAGTGGCACCCATCAATAGGCTTACAGCCTGATGAAGTAAAAGGAAAGGCAGGCTGGCTTCTTGCTGTTCGCTGCGGTCTGCCTGCCGCACCATGAACTGTTTCCCCTCTGCAATGCCCCTCTGCTGGGTCATTCTGTCTTGGAGCCAGCCAGTTATGGCCTGAAACCTCTACAAACTATGAGCTAAATAAACCTTTCCTCCTCTAACTTTGGGTGTCAGGTATTTTGTCTCAGCAACAAGAAAAGTAACTAAGACATCTTGCTTGTGCCAGGATGTTCTAGGTACTAGACATACAGCAGGGAATAAAGCAAAAAAACAAGGTCTCTGCTTTCATGAAGCTTAAATTCTTGAAGGGCAGAAAGAGAAAATAAAGAAATAAATGTGTTAAAGGGTGATAAATACTCTGGAAAAAAACCCATGATAAAATATTGAAGAATATTCGGAAGGGAATTATTTTACTTAGGGCAATCAGTGAAGGGTGTTCTAAGGGAAGGAGAGAAGTGAATCAAATGAAGACAGGAACATGCAGACATCTAGGGAAAACACTGCAATCAGAACAGTAAGTACAAAGGCCCTGAGGTAGATGTGTGAGTGGCATGTGTGCAAAACTGCAAGGGAGTCACTGGGACCGTGAAGGCATAAGAAAGAGTGTCTGGGAATGAGTCCAATGAGGCAGGCAGGGGGCAGATATACTGGGCCTTGTAGGACATGGTAAAGGCTTGGGATTTGACACCAAGTTAAATGGAAGACATCTGGAATGTTCTAAGAAGAAAAGAGCAAAGCCGGGGATGTAGCTCAGTGGTTTTGCCGCCTGCTGTGCAAGCGCAAGGACCCAAGTTCGATCCCGGTATCCGCCCCCCCCCCCGCAAAAAAAAGTGTTATGTCATCAAGAAAAGAGCGATACTTTATTTTATAGTTTGAAAGGCTATTTTGGCTACTCCGTGAATGACAGCCTAAGGAGGAACCACAAAAGGTGTAGAATCTGGAGATTGCTAATTCTACCAATAGTTATTGGTGACTACTATGCACCAGCCCAGTCGTAGGCACTCACGACACCCAGCAACACGGGCTCTCTGCCATTACAGAGGTTACAATCCAGTGGGGAGGCAGAATCATAGGCAAAACTATGCTGTCTGTAACAGCATATGGGGGATCATGGTAGAGCAGGAAAGAATTAGGCAGAGTAGTATTCCAGAAAGGGCAAACAGCACAAGCAAACAGTGAGTTATTTCAGGAAACCAGATGTGGTAAAGAACTCTAAGCAGCCTGATGAAGATGGAGGGCAGGGATGGAATGGAGGTGAGAACAGAGGAGGCAGGGGCTGAATCACAGAGAGCTTTGCGAACCAGCAGTAAAGCTCCTATCATCTTACAGGAGATAGGGATCCACAGATAGGGTTCAATGGAAGTGTGATAGTGGGATTTCCAGTTTTGATGTCTCTGTTTGCAGCAGATAGGTGGACTTAAAAAGGGTAAGATTAGAGACAGAGGGAACAGTTAGGAGCCCATGTAGTCATCTGGGCAAGAAGAGGAAGTCCTGAAGTGGCACTAGAGATGGAGAAGAGGCAGGAGATTCTAAATATATTTGAGAAGTGAAACCATCAGGACTTGATGGGCTGAGGGGGAGAGGCATAGGGGTGAGGCTGATCCCCTAGGGTCCTACCTGGAGTGCCTGGATTGTGAGACTGCGAACTGAGGAAAGGCATGTCACACTGGAGATGTCCATACGATACATAGGAAACATTACTGGAGACTCGGGAAACGTGTGTCTAAAGATGTAAATGGAATACAACCATCAGTATGTAAAGGATGCTTGAAAATGAGAGTGGATGGAATCAGCTCATGACTGTCTAATCAAACAAAGCTGGGTACTGAATCTTAGATATGTTGTTCACTACCTGTGATCTTTAGTAAGTTACTGTATCTTTCTGAGCCTCATTTTTCTCATCTTTCACTGGATATTTTCCTTTTGTAAAGTATTACCAGAGTGCTGGGGACATGGTAAGTGCTCAATTACCATTCTAGCTCTAGTATTACTACTTAGTATTACTAAGTAGTAGTAATATCTACTTAACAGATGAGAGAATTAAAAAGAATATAAATCTATATCTCCATGTAAATACAGTAATACCTTGGTTCACAAATGCTTCCGTTTGTAAACAATTCAGTTTGCGAACAAAAGTGTTCAGCAAAATTTTGCTTTCATTCGCAAACTCTGCAGCAGGTGACAAACATGACCACTGCCATCTTCCCCACACAAACACAAACGCAACCATCTTCCCCCAAACCATAAAACAAATCAAGTTTGTAAACTGAGGCACCACCGTATGTCACCCATGGAAAGTTAGCACTTAAAAGGCAGAGAATAAGGGCCAGGGATTTAGCTCAGTGGTGCTGCCACCTGGCTCGCAAGCACAAGGTCCCAAGTTTGATCCCCGGTACCAAAAAAAAAGGCAGACAACAATGCTAGTCCTTTTCCTTCTATCCTTGCTTTCCAAATCATCTCTTCTTTTCCTTTTAAATCATCCTCTTTCCACTGGTTTCTTTCTTTCAGACTGCAACATATTCTAGTCTCCCCTAATCAAAAAAGCCTGCCTTGAGTCTTGTCACCTCCCTCAAATTTTTATCCATCATTCCTTAATTTTACTCACTATACCCTTTCTCAACATGAAACACTTTTCAATGAAGAAACCACGTTTGCTTCAGAATACAAGTTTCAGTTTATTACTTTTTTAAAAAGCAAATATCATTTACATAATTGATCCAGCAAGCCTGTACAGAAGCATTTCATTTTAAAGTGTGCATGCATGTATTTTTTTCCTACTGCAGTAATTCATTGCAGGAGAAATTTCATTATGTATCTTCTACAGAGCCCTAAGCTGAGAGCCTATGTATTTAAATAAAGCTGGAGGTGTGGGAGGCTTCGGGCCAGTTCCTCATTAGAAGCCTCAGCATGGGGGCTCCTGAGATGGGCATAGAAGGTCTTCCAGGGAGAGCTGAAACATTCAGATAAGTGAGCTCTGGAAAGCAGGGCTGGCCGGCTGGCTCTGGCAGGCTCACCCCTGGGGTAGAGCAAAGTGAACAGACAGGGAGTTCTGAGAGGCACCAGAGCTGTCTAAACTCAGGGGGATGGAACCACGGAAGCAGCAGCAGTAATTGAGTTTCAGTTACCTGCAGGGTGGCGAAATAAAGTGGTAACTTCATCTGCCTGACAGGGGGGATGTTTAGAGGTGTCCTTGGCATACACACAATGAAATCCATCACCCTTCCACTGTGCTGGGTGATGGCACCCGTATGGCGCTTCCTAGTGACAGCCAGTGTGTATCCTGTTGGCCAGCACCAGTGCACCACAGCTAATGAAGCTCACTCCCGCAGGCCTGTCTCCCAGGCTCTCTGCATCCTGCCTGCAGGAATGGCACCACGGGAAAACCTAGCAAGCCACATCAGCCATCACCCAGACTCAAAGGAGGCTTTGAAGCAGAGAGTGGCCCGTTTTCTTCTCTGCCCAGCCCAGGGTTGGAACCACCCTCAGTTCACTTTTTCTGGGTCTGTACAAATGTGCAGACTGGCAGTGAGCCGTTCTTCACCTGATCCCGGATTTCAGCTCTGTGCTTTAATGTGAAGACCAGAGCTCTCACCATCCGCCGGTATGGCCCATTAATGAGGCGAGAGCAGAGATGAAACGTTTCCCGTTCAATATTTTCAACCAGTAGGTGATCCATCTAAAAAACAGCAAAATTATCAAATTAGGGCCTTGCATTGCATAAGGATTAAAAGCAAGAGAGGCTGGAGCTCTCTGCTCCAAGGCCTCCATTAATCAACTGAAATTCAAGGACATCTACTTCCTGTCACAAGAGAAACAGGAAGAGCAAATTAATTCCACCCTGGCAATTAAGGAACAAGGCCATGTGCTTTGTGACAGGGACCTCATTCACAACCCCTGCCGGGTGGTAATATTTGCCATTATAACAGGAAACTGGCCTGAACTAAGCAACGGGTACTGGGCCCTGTACTTTACCAACCAGGAAACGAAGTCCAAGGATAATAAATCAGTATAACAGTTTATACTTCTTTTTGTTTTTAAAGTGCCTTTAACCCCTTACAGCATTTTAGAAATACTGAGTCTGAATCCTAATATGTGTACAAGACAGTTTATGAATCACTCTTTGAATTTAATGCTCATGAAACTTATCACATTTTACAGATAAGGAAACAGGTTCAAAGGTAAAAGGTCAAGGTCTTGATTCTAGAGTTCAAGCTTTTTCCCTCTCAGCACACTAACGGCCCCTCAATGTTCTGAAAGCCTGGCTGAGTCTGCAGAGATCCCTGCAGATTCAGTCAGCAGAGCAGCCCAGAGGATGGACCTGCAGCAATTCTGGGATGGTCTGAATCACACTCAAGCCATCCGGAGGTCACGGACCCAGGGCAGGTCAGGGACTCTGCCTACCTGGTCTGCAGCCCCATTTGGGCTGCTGGTCAGGAACCCTCAGGTCTACCTTCCATTCCCCGGCTGAATCCTCCAGCCCTGACCATGGCCCCACCTAAGCCTCAAGCTGCTTTCACATTCCTCTAGGCCACTGCATGGCAGATGTCTCCTTAGCAAGGCACATTTTGTCCTAGGAAACACATTTCTATATTTGTGTGTTGAAGCTCAGCAAACACACACACACATACACTCACACATATCTTAGCAGAAAGGATTTAAAAGTTCTTCACACTGCCACAATGTCCCGAGCTCCCTTGGTCATTATCATGTCATCCGTAGTTGAGGTTTGTCTCACCTGGTACTGAGTCCTTTGAAAATAAAAATAAATTTCCCTCTCTCTTCCCTTCATTCCATCCCTACCTTCTAAGCAGTATTTACTGTGTGCCAGGCTCTGTGCTGGTGCTGAGGAGGGAGCAGTGACCAGGGGAGGCACAGCTCTCGAGCCTGAGGAGAGCACAGATGAACAGGGTACTAAGCGTCAGGAAAGGAGAGAGCAATGAGTGCCAGGAGCACAGAGAAGCTGAGAGGACAGCATGTGGCTTTAGGAGAAAATGACATTTCTCATGAGACCTGGAGAAGAGGCAGAATCTGGAAAGGTGAAATGGGTGTTTGCTTTGTGATAAATTCACTGAGCTAGACACATATTGTACTGTACATGTCCTATGCTTTTATGTAAAAATCAAAGGTCAAAACTAGAAATGAAAAAGGTCACCTGACATTTGAAAATATGTCCCAAACACAAGTGATTGATACAAAGACCAAAAAAAAAGGGGGGGGGGGATACTTTAAAGACAAAGATCAAGCAGGAAGCAGAATAGGACAGAGAGAGAGAAAATATGAATATACAAGGATGATCAAAATATACAGTGAATATAAAAAACTTTAAAAACACATTGCCAAAAACCCCCCACATTGCCATTAATACTGATCAAAACACCACCCCCACCACCCCTACCCCGCTCTGAACACAATTATTAACCTATCATTCTTGCCACCTTCCAAAGCAGCTCTGAAAGTCCTCTACGGTGAGTGTCTTGATGAGGTATGATCAAAACTACCTGAGTACTTGCTGCTGAGTGGCATCCAATAGCAAAGCAAGCTCATAAAGACATCATGGGGTGTCCCCATCCACCTTATTCACTGGATCTGGCAGCGTGAGACTTCTGACTCTTCCTCAAAGTCAAAATGACCATGACAGGTAAATGTTTTGAACTGATTCAGGACACTGGGGCAGCTATGATGGCACAGTTAAAGACACAAGAAAAAATTTTCAGAACTGCTTCAGAAAGTGGCAAGAATGGTGGGATGAGTGAATTTGAAGTATGTGTGTGGGGTATTTTGAGGGGAATTAATGGCAATGTGTCTTTACGGTAATACTTTTAAAAAACCTGAACATTTACCATATATTTTGATCATATTGCATATCCCACATCTGCCTAGGCCTAGCAGACAAAAGATGCTTCTGGAAGTTCAGAATGGCTGGCTGATCACCTCCTAGGTCTGTGCAGAAGGAAATGGACCAGGCACCATGGCTCTGAAGAACCCAGATTCCTCGAGTTTTCAAGACTTTCTGAGCAGACACTGAACTAGTAGTGGGCCTGAGGCAGCCCTGGTACCAGATGACTTTTGAAGGCTGGAGAGATGGCTGGCTGGCTGCCCCACAGCGTTGGCCAGAGAGGTTCCTCAGCCTAGTATGAGGCTGGTTATCAACTATTTTGAGATTTACTTAGTGTCATAGGCAAGAAAATGTTTTTTAAAATAAGGGCAGTGCTATTGAAGGAAGAAGGGTATATGTACGTTTAAAAAACAATTCTTAGCCATTCTATCAAATTGTAGTATTAAAAAACAGGATTTATATAATTGGACACTCACACATCTGCATTCAGCAAACAGAGTTACTATTCCAAGTCTGGCCAGATTTGGGTGACACAGCACATGCAAGACCTGACTCCTCCCACCCAGGAACTCAAGCCTTGAAAGGAGATGGTGTCAACACATACAACTGGGCCAGAGCAACAGGTGCTATGCCTGTACATAATGGAAGTAGAAAGCATCTAGCAGGGCTGGGGATTTAGCTCAGTGGTTCCGTTGCCTGCCTCGAAAGCGCAAGGTCCCGAGTTCGATCTCCAGTACCAAAAAAAAAAAAAGAAAGAGGGCCAGGGATTTAGCTCAGTGGTTCAGGTGCCTGCCTCAAAAGTGCAAGGTCCCAAGTTCGATCCCCGGTACCCCCCTCTCAAAAACAAAGAGGGCCGGGAATTTAGCTCAGTGGTTTTGCTGCCTGCTGCCCAAGTACAAGGACCCGAGTTCGATCTCCGGTACCAAAAAAAAAGAAAAGAAAGCATCTAGCAATTCTCATGCATGCCTCTTGCTAAATGAAGGCCAATCAGAATGAAGAAATGAAGAAAAATACCTGTGACATTAAAGTATAAGTCATGCACAGTCATGCCTGACAAGCTCACTGAACAAAGTGAAGAACGCCTCTCTCGTAACCCAAACCTGCCCAGGTGATGAGTCCTTTCCAGAGTCCTAACTTGGTGCTTTAAGTAAGGTAAATCCTTTTGGTAAGAGGACTTAGTGACTGACATCTTGAGAAAAAAGAAATTTTGCTATCTGTGCGAATGGAAATGGGAAGAGGAACTCTCCAAGAGATCTAAGGCTTTACTGTACTTAGTGGCCAGATCCTTTCTCTGTATTTTTCATGACCTGACTGGCCTCTTTCTCACATATTTTTGCTCCCCTCCATGAGCCTTACTCACTATCAATTCTAACTGTCTCTCTCTGCTGGTCTACAAATCTCCCTATCCACAATTTTTGCTTTCTCCTAACTCCTCCAACATGCCTTGTGTTTCAAACATTCACACAGTTGCTTTCTTGGGATTTCCTAATCCCCATTTCTCAGAGGATCTGAATTGCCTTCTGTATCTATGTGTGCCTGTCCATGAGTGTGTGTGTTACTCAGATGCACTGGCTGGAGTGGGGAAGATACCAAACGCACCCACTTAGGGCTCTCCTTCACCAAGGAATGGACTTGGTGGCAAACAGTGCCATAATCAATCAGTGCTGCCTGCCACATCTGTAAGTTCTTTAAATGCAAGGGAACAAGTTTTCCATGTGTTTACCTTGGTGCAGAACTTCCCATGTTGTACTTTAACTACTTGTCTATCTTCTTCAGAAAACTGTGAGACCTCGAGGGCTTGACATCATATATCCATTTCTAAATTCCCTTGCCTGGCCTACATACTGGCACATAGGAAGTATTCAATAAACACCTGTCAAAAGAATGCCCTTTCGACTAAGGTGTATAATGGATGTTGGGAAATGGGAAGAAAATGTTCAAAAGGGAAGGGGAACAAGGGAAGAGGGAGGGAGAAAGGAAGGAAGGGACAAGAAAAACAAGAGAATAGAAGGAAAAAATGGAAACAAAGCTTTTGTACATAGGGAGGGGAGGGGACTTGAGGGGGGGAATGGGATAAAATAAAATTTATTAATAAAAAAAAAAAGCAGGGCCAGGGATTTAGCTCAGTGGTTCCACCGCCTGACTCACAAGTGCAAAGACCCAAGTTCGATCCCTGGTACAAAAAAAAAAAAAAAAAAAAGAGCATGTACAGCCCCATCAAGAACTTGTTAAAGCAGGGAAAGTTTAAAATTGTTCCTCTTCCCCTGCCAAAGGTTGTGAAATAGTTTTAAAAGTACCCTTCAAAATCTTATGCGTTTAGGGCCAGGGATTTAGCTCAGTGGTACCGCACCTGCCTCGAAAGCACAAGGTCCTGAGTTCAATCCCTGGTACCAAAAAAAAAAAAATGTTATGTGTTTAATATGTGTTTGCACATACACATGCACACAATAAAAAAAAAGCCCTTTCTCCCCATGTGCACCTCCTTTCTTTCCTATTCTTTTAATGTTGTACAAATAGCAGATGGAATATATATTTCAGGGCAGAGTACTGAATCTTGTGCACACTGGGATACAATCTATCACTGAGCTACATCTGCAGCCCTTTTTAAATTTTATTTTGAAATAGGGTCTTGTTAAATTGCCCAGACTGGGCTTGAATTTGCAATCTTCTTGCTTCAGCCACTTAAGTAGCCGGGATTACAGGCATGGGCCACCATACCCATTTTAATCTTTTTATTTTGTGTACTTTCTAGTTAGCCAAATCCTCCCCCTCTTTAAAGGTGAGTTCAACTGCCAGTTCATCCTTGACACCTTCCCAGATTCCCACAGCAGATTTAACAGCTCCAAACTGTGTGTCTACACCACTAGCTAGCACCACTATTTCAGACTGCTTCACATTTTTGTTAGTCATTTGAGGCTCAGCCAGGTGTAATAAGCCTTCTTAGGCTAGGGAGTGCAACTCATTCATGTCTGTATTCTCCCTGGGCACCTAATAGATCTCAATAAACACATGTTGAATCGAAAATCCCCTTGAAGCAAACTTTGCATGGGTTTTCCATAGTGTGACTGAATTTGTACTTACCTAACCACACTTTTTTTTTTTTTGGTACCGGGCATCAAACTCAGGTCCTTGTGCTTGCGAGGCAGGCGGCAGAACCACTGAGCTAAATCTCCAGCCACACTTCTTTTTGACCACTTGAATACATTTATGAGAGAGCTGGTCAAAGCCAGGGGTGCAGTCTGAGGCCATTAAACAAAGAAAAAACTAACAGTCCCATACGAGAATGTACCCCTGACCTGGATCTCATTAGCACCATCTGACAACCAACTGAGCCAACCAGCCAGTGTTTCATAACTCTTAACGATGCAGGCTCACTTTCAGAATCAGGTTCATTTTTTTAATGACATAATAGGAAAATGATCACAGGCCGTGAGGTAGGAAGGAGAGTGGATAATGAGGAAGGGGCAGTAAGAGAATGGCACTGCAGGGGATGTTCATATGGGGAAAGATCTAAAAGACAGGGAAGAACAAAGAAGATCCAGAAGGGAAAAAGTGAAGGGGAATGAAGCCTGGGTTTCAATGATGGAGTTTTTATTCATCTATTCCATTATTCCAAGAACAAGGAAATAATCCATGAATCTAGAAAGCAAGATTTATAGGGTAATAAAGAAATGAACCTTTTGACTGTATATATAGTCTTCATTTGTAGGTTTCACTATTAAAGGATATTATAACATAGAAACATCTTTTTCTACCAAAAATGTAATGAGCAGATGTGGTATTTGCAAAAACACATGCTAGGATCAAATTGTAAAGGCTTTTCAGTCATTGGGCCAGTAGCTCACCCAATGGTTCACTACTGCCTGATAGAGTATATTTATGGAGATCTGATGTCTGATTTGAATGCACTTGATATTGCTTACTGTCAAATGCTGGATAATGAATTAGATGATTCACTGATTTACCCTAATACAGAAATGCCTCATGATGACAGGTGCTAGGGTTAACTGCATATAAAAATATTTATATTGGGCCAGGGATTTAGCTCAGTGGTTCCACTGCCTGCCTCACAAGCGCAAGGTCCTGAGTTCAATCCCCGGTACCAAAAAAAAAAAATTTGTATTTATATTTTGTGACATACCAAACTAACAAAAATACTATTAAAGGCTATTTATGCAAGAAAGACTGATTGATTTTTTTTCTTGCTGGCCAAGGAAGACAGTTAAAGATGCATACTTTTAATTTTCAAAATTTACTCCTTGGGAACAAAACCATTCAGCTATGCTTAATCTGATATTTTTTCCAATTACGCTGGAAAGCACTAATGTATGTATCACTTTTTTAACTTTGCTTTGTAACACTTGAGTGCTTACCACTTGATGTGCCATTTAAAGGATAATTAATGGATAAACTAAAAGGATAATTATTATGGAGTTTAATATAGCAGGCAAACTGCTCATTAATCCTTACAAGCATAGCTTCGTTATTATCATTTACTTTAAAAGATACCATAGGGAACTGGTATTTACCACCACATTAACTACATATTACATATCCACACTGTATGTTTCTGCAATAATTTTGGTCTATTTCAAAAACAAACTTTATTTAAAATAGCAAGTCTGTTGGCTAATCGATACTCTGGAAAATTACTTACAACCTTCATAGTTTTTCTTCTCTTCCAATAGTCACATTGAAGCTTCCTTTAGGAAAAGTTAAGCAAACTTACATCACAGCAATTCACTGCACTATCAAGTAGACATTAAAAATTATAAACACTGAAGCATAAAAATATATAGAAAGGGCCGGGGATTTAGCTCGGTGGTTTCACCGCCTGCTGCGCAAGCGCAAGGACCTGAGTTCAATCCCCGGTACCAAAAAAAAAATGCACAGAAAAAGATATACAGAATACTCATTGAAATTGATCAAGATTCAAGAGACAACACAAATGTAATTATGTCAATTTTCTGCAGTTTTTCTTTGGAGACAGGGTCTTGCTATGTAGTTCCGACTGGCCTTAAACTTACTATGTAGCCTAGGCTGAACCTGAACTCATAGTCATCCTCCTTCCTCAGCCTACGGAATGCTGGGATTATAGGTGTGTACCACTACGCCCAGCCTAAAAATACTTTCTGGGACATTTGGCATATAATTTGCCCTAAATAAGTATTGGATAATCATAACTTGCCCAGCATTCAGTTAAAAAGCTTTAAGAATTTACAAAATAAAAAGATATGCGCCAATATATTAACAAGATTATGCCTGGATGGTAGGTTCCATGGAAATATTTTTCTTCCTGTATTTTTTTCTTTTCTTTTTTGGTACTGGGGATCAAACTCGGACCTTGCGCTTAGGAGGCAGGTGGCGGAAGCACTGAGCTAAATCCCCAGCCCATTTCTTTCATTTTCTATTTTAAGTTTTTATTTTTAAAAACCTAAAACATTTCTTTAAAAAAGTAAATAATATACCACAAGTCCACTTGCTCATTTTTTTTGAATAAATAAGATAGGCTAAAAAATTTTTGGAGAATGCAATAACTGATCGAGCACTTAAACCAGATTTCTCAATTCCATCTCTTATCAAAAGTATTGTTATTATTGATATTTTAATAGGGATACCTTGGAACATCGTGGGGAAAGAAAAAAATGTGGATGTTATATGTCTGATTTTCCAGAGTATTAATTAGCCTGTAAGATTTGTTGTTTGATGGTGATTAAGAGATCATGAACGAGCAAAAATGCTTCTTTCAGCATGAATGCTTCAAACCACTAACATCCGAGTGGCCAGCTGTGCAGACAGAGAATGTGTCTATCCAACTGATTTTATCCCTTAGAACTGAAAGTATGAAAGCTGACAAAGGTGGGAAAGTAGAGTCTTTTCAACAGACAGCTCTTTATCACTGAAACTCCAAAACACAGTCCACCCTAAAATATTTATTTCAGTGGGAATGGAAAGAATTTTAAACTAAAAGAACTAACATTCAATGAATGACTTCTAATCAGCAAGCACTAGATACTATTCCTTTGTATAAATGGTTCATTTAACTTTCCCAATAACCTTAGATGATATGAATTAAAATTCTCCAAAAAAAAGAAAAAAAAAAAAAAAAATAAAAAAACTCCTTTTACAAATAAAGTAAGTCTCAGAAGTGTTTAGGAATTTGCCTAACACACCAGGAGTACTAGAGTCAGGGTTTCAACCCTGGTCTTGCATGTTCCAAAGCCTGCACTGTTACAACACCATCTCTCAGAAGGTTCATAAACCCTTCAACAGTCACCTATTAGAATAAGGCCAGAGCATTGAGCCTATGAAAACTCACCATGAAAACATAAGCCTCATGCCAGGTGTGGTGAGAGAAGGCTGAGGCAGAAGGATTGCCACGAGTCCCAAGCCAGCCTGGACCACATACTGAGCTCAAGACCAGCCTGGACTACACAACAGAGACCCTGTCTCAAAAGAAACACGAGGCTCATTTAACCAAGAGCTCTTAGGAATCACATTCTAACTAGGACATTACCTTCAATCCCAAGGCTTCTGAGAGTAATTTCTGGGCATTTTTCCTAAATAATTCTGTTTTGGGATCACTTTGGACTTCAATAGACGGTCTATCCAAATGTTTTTCAATGGAAGTTTTCCACTCAGTGTAAACTTCTTTGGCAAGACAAGCCACCTCTGAATCTGAGTGCTTACGCATCTTGTTCACCGTGTGACCTAGAACAGGAGAGAAATCAAAGGAAAGATGGTTCTGTCTTCTGAAAGCACAGGACTAGATGAGCTGAGGTGTGGGACCGAGAGCCATTCACACACCCAAGGATGCAACGCTCTTGTGCAAATGAGATCTGTTGCACAGAGGCTAAGATATAATGCTCACTAGGAGAGAACCGGATTTGCCAATAGAGCAGTAAAAAACTAAAGGCACTGTCAATAGAATCTTTAAAAGAACAGCAATGAGGGCCGGGGATTTAGCTCAGTGGTTTTGCCACCTGCTGTGCAAGCACAAGGACCTGAGTTCGATCCCCGGTACCAAAAAAAAAAAAAAAAAAAAGAACAGCATTCAAAACAAAACAAAACTAAGGATCTAATTCCTTAATGCAAAAATTGAAATAAAAGAAAGTGAAGTAAGCATTTGTACTATGTTTTGGTACATATTATATATTTCAAGGCAACAGAATAACCCTAGTTAGTAAGGGAACATTCTTTATTTAGCAATAATATGAAATAATTAACAGAATTAGAAAAAAAATGTTGTAGCCTCTGATGAAATAATTCGTTCAGAAGACAAACATGAAACAAGAAAGAAGAGAGAAAAAAGAAAAAGACAACCATGATTGGATGAACTCATCCATGAAAGGCCAGTAAGTTTAGAATGGAGGCTGAACTGTCATCTGCTGATCCATGTTGGCATCCCTAAGAGAGGGACTTTGGGCAGCAGTACTTGACAGCCCTACCCAGGAAGTGGTCCCACACCCAACCCTAAAAGACCAAATGAATCACAATCCAATTAGCTACTCGAAGCTAACCTCCAGTTTACAGGAAATATGAGAGACAGAGGAGTGAGTAAGATTATAGCATAAAGAGACAATATTCAGAATGTGGGCCACTCTACACAACAGGTGTGGTTTCTCAACAGTCAGTGGCATTGTTTAAAAAGGGGGACAGAGGTAGGGATTGCTATGGATTAAAAAGAGTCTTCTGAGTCCAGACTACCAAAAGTGATGCATGATTCAAATCCCAAATGAAATGAACGAACTGTTAAAAGATATTTTTAGGTAAACAAGAAATATGAATATGCACTAGATAATAAATTATGCCAAGGAATTATTGTTAATTAAGCACAAAAATGGCATAGTAGTTACCTAAGAAAATATCCATAGTTTTTAGAGATGCATACATAGGTATGTAGAGCTGAAATGACAAAAGCTCTGAGATTTGTCTTTAAAATACTCCAGTAAACACAATAAAAGCAAAAAAGAGGGGCCGGGGATTTAGCTCAGTGGTTCCAGCACCTGCCTCACAAGTGCAAGGATCGGAGTTCGATCCCCGGTACAAAAAAGAAAAAAAGAAAAAGTTGAAGTGGGGCAAAAAGGGCATATTGGAGTTTGTTATAGCATTCACTTTATTTCTGTACATGTTTGAGATTTTCATAATAAAATGAAAAAGGTCGGAAAGGTCAAAAATTTCAATATGCCAAAGTACCTTTAAGGGCCGGGCATTTAGCTCAGTGGTACTATGCCTGCTTAGCAAGTGTGAGGTCCTGAGTTCGATTCCCAGAACCCATCCCCCCAAAAAAGTACCTTTAAAAATAAACACGTAGAAAAGCCAAAAAAACCCAACTGAACACTTACAATTGAAAGTTCAGGGGTCTGGGATTTAGCTCAGTGGTGCTGCAGCCTGCCTTGCAAGAACAAAGTCCTGAGTTTGATCCCCAGTACCAAAAAAAAAAAAAAAAAGGAGGATCATTAAAGAAAAAAATATCTCCCATGATATTTTCATCCAAGGAAATCCATATGGTTTGGTAAGACACAATGGTCATAAAAACAGAGATAACTTTAGGGCTGGGGATTTAGCTCAGTGGCGCTGCGCACCTGCCTTGCAAGTACAAGGTCTTGAGCTCGATCCCTGGTACTGAAAAAAAAAAAAAGTTCAAATAAAATGGAAGAATACAAGATAGATATATGTTCAAAAATCAATACCTTTCTACTTAGGAAATAAGCAGTCAGAATATGAGTGAGAAAATCCTGGCTAAACTAGTAAAAAGCCTTGATCAGTTACCAGAGTGGGTGTGACACGTGTGCTGCCTATCTCTGCCTGTTTCTCAGCTCTCTCCCTACTGCCACTGCTGTGGCCTCAGAGCTTCTGGGTGACACAGAGGCCCCTTACTTGCCTCTCCTTGAAGTCTGCTACCCCTCGATGTCATCTTTGCACAGAGGCTGGAGGGGCTTTTATTCAATCTTAGTATTTTCTCTTTTAGGCACTTTTAAATAAAACATAAATCCGACCATTTTATTCCTACACTTAAATCCTTCAACCCTATATCCAAACTCCTTAGCACAAGTCCCTTCACAATCTGCCACCCTCCCACCTACTTCCCAGCTGTATTTCCAGCTACTACTGTATGTTCATCCTATACCTCGGCTACTTGAAGCTCCTAAAATGCTTGAGTATTTTTCCTTATCTCTTTATTTTCCAATATGCACCCCAATGAACATTCTGTCACTTGAAATACTCTCTTTCCTCTCTACCTGGGTACCTTCCATTCAGCCTGGAAGACTCGTTGGGGGTCCCCTCCTCCAGGGAGTCTTCCTCAACACTCCCAGTCTTTCTCGGTACTCCTGCTTGGTGCTTCCTTAGCACTTTGTGCTTGTTTGTCCCAGTAATTACTAGAGTTAGTAGTAATTATCTGACCAGTCATCTCTCTGCTCACCACAGGAGCTTCTTGAGGGAAAGAGTGATGACACATTCATCTTTCTATCTCCTGCAACCAGCAGAGTGGCAGGAGACAGGAAATGAAGCAATCAGGCAGGTTCAGTGAGAGACTCAGAGAAAGAACAATATACATTATTTTATTTTTTATTTTTTTGGTACTGGGGATCGAACTCAGGTCCTTGCGCTTGCGCAGCAGGGGGCGAAACCACTGAGCTAAATCCCTGGCCTGAACAATATATATTCTTACAGAAGTACCTACAGAAGTTTTGAATAAAAGAGGCAAACAGAGCCAGGCGCTGAGGTGCATGCCTGTAATCCCAGCCTCTCTGGATGCCAAGGCTAGTGGACTGCAAGTTCATGGCCAGCCTAGGCATCTTGGCAAGAACCTTTCTCAAAATAAAAAATAAAGGGGCCAGAGATTTAGCTAAGTGGTGCCACCGCTTGCTTCGCAAGTGCAAGGTCCGGAGTTCGATCCCCAGTACCAAAAAAACAAAACAAAACAAATAAAAAATAAAAAGAGCTGGGGATGTAGCTCACTTGTAAAGTACTTCTAGGTGTGATGCCCAATACTGAAAAAAGCTAAATCAAAAACAAACAAAATACAAGAGGAGTAAATATACGACGAGAGATGGAAATATAAGCACAAAAATGTCAATCTAGAAATTAATTTATAGCTTTAATGTAATCTCAATTTAAAAATCTTAATAGGCTGTTTCTATTAGAATATAACCAAATAGGGCTGGGGATTTAGCTCAGTGGTTTCACTGCCTGCTGCACAAGCGCAAGGACCTGAGTTCGATCCCCGCTACCAAAAAAAAAGAATATAATCAAGTAGCTCTAGACTTATTCCAGAACTACAATTGGGCAAGAATATAAAATCCTATTTTGAGAACAGAAGTTATGAGGTACAAATAGATCTATGAGACTAGAATATATTACAAAACAACAATAATTAAAATTATATGAATCAATACCAAAAGGAATAAATGGATCCTTGAAACAAAAAATGAAGCTCAGAATAGACACTTAAAAAGAGGGGAAGGTTGAGGGGAAGGGGAAAAAAGAAAAACAAAAAGAATTGACATGTGTTATGAACATTTACCAATTCTCCACAATGAATGTAATCATTATGTACTGCAAATGTGTATTAATAAGAAAATTTTAAGCCGCCTGCTTCATAAGTGCAAGGCCCTGGGTTCGATCCCCGGTACAAAAAAAAAAAAAATTTTAAAAAGAACAGCCCCTGTAATATATTTAAGAATTTAACATAAAGTCGGGTGCAGTGGAATGTTTCTGTAGTCCCAGCTACTTGGGAGGCTGAGGCCAGCCTGGGGAACTCAGTGAGACCTGTATCAAAAAAGAAAAAAAAAAAAAAAAAAAAAAAGAAAGAAAGAAAGACAAGGATTTAATGTATAATAATTTAAAATGCTCCACAGAATAAAGGGAGGCAGAAATGTAAATTTGGTTCTGCCATGCCCCTCTGCCATGGCCCCGGCCTTGGACCTAGCCAACTACGGACTGAAACCTCTACAAACTGTGAGCTAAATAAACCTTTCCTCCTTCAAAAAAAAAAAAAGAAAAGAAATATAAATTTGGAGAAATGATAAAAAATTTAGAAAATGTCTGCAATTACACCAAGTGCATGGCCCCCACAGCTTGATTCCTTTATGTTCCATGCATTTCCTCGTCACTTATGGTTAAGGACTGGCCCAGACACCAGCTGTGCAGGGCTTGAACAAGGAACCATCCCCACTTAAAGGTTCTGTGAAGAGAATCACGGGGTTTAAAAAAAAAAGGTAACATGAAAAGGAAGAGGGAGAGAACATAATAGTCTTTAACTTCTCACTCTAACCAATTATTTATAAGAATTTTTATCTAGTCTTTCTACTGACCAGGGAAAGGAGTCCATCAAGACGGGGAGGGGGGGGGGATGAGGAGCAGGAGGAGGAGGAGGAGGAATGCAGAGCACTCATTAGAAATGTCTAAAGGTGTTTCCTAGCTAGAATGCTTAGGAAAGCGCTTTTGAAATACGCATCACCTAAAAACAGAAGTCACTACTGGAAGCATTCCTTTTCATGGTAGAATTATCTATCCCTGAGATTACTCATTCAGTAAACAATTTTTTGTGCTGTTAGTTACTGTGGTAGATGCTAAAAATAGAAAGGTAGGGGTGGGGTTTAGGTCAGTGGTAGAATGTACGTTTATCATGTTCAAGGCCCTGGGTTTAATCCCCAGCACCCTCCAAAAAAATTTTTTTTTTGGTACCAGGGCTCAAACTCCAGTCC